TACCCTTGAAACTGCAGCCGTTTGTAGATTACAGCGCAACTAAACCTGTACCTCGATTTTCGAACATCCAGTTTGCCGGTTTTCGCTGCGACGAACCGTATAACTTTGAAATTGTTTCTCAGTTCACGATGATCATTTTCCCTGTTAGAAAAGGCGGGCTTTTTCCGTGTTTCCCTTCTTAAGCTACGAAAGCGAATGAATGCACCAGTGCGCATGGAGAATGCGTGGCTGACTCGCTGTCTTCAGCCTTCCAGCTGCGTTGAGCTTTGCTGTAATGATGAGCTTGACAATCTGTGTAATTTGAAAGTCTGGCTGATGATTTTCCCCGGCATTCTGAGCTTTTGAACACTGCAATGAGGCGTCGTTTACTTCGTCGCAGAAGGACCATTTTCCCCTGAACGCACGTTTGCCCCTGCCTTCTTGAGTGTTAAACGTACTAAGATTCAAGATTTTGATCAATACAGTACTGTATGCTTTGTTTACTCTTAAGTTCCTGTTTTTTCTATAACTGGACTTACTCCTGTACAAAGCGAAGGTCTTATTTAACACTTCAGTAGTGCACAGTCAGTTATTAACTATCATAACGGAAGTAATTCTGTTTTTATTTGTACGATTGTGTAGTATTTTAACATGTTTAGGGAATTAGCGGATGGTTGTACTCCAAGTCGGTTTTGCCTTGCGAACAGTTTTCATGCAACGAGTGACGCTCCTAAGCGCAGAGATAGTTGTACCTGTAGTTGGCAGCGTTGATGCATCTTCTCCAGTTCCTGTCTCATTGCAGCCATGGAGCAAACATTGCAGTTTTCAACGTTTTGCTCCGTTGACTATATGGTTCCAGTCGGGATCGTATGCGATAGTTTCCACCTATTGGGTTGCCCCAGTCTCTTTCAAGGGCTCGTTTGGATGTTGCATCCGACACTATCCTGTCTGAATCGCTAATGAGGAGAAGCCTTCTCACAGTGTGGAGGTGTCATTCCAAATTGCATGTTCTCATTAGATGGCGAAGAATTTTAAACTGACATGATTTCCATATAGGACCTCTTGAGGTTTTTCTTTCCTTGCACTGTCCCCGGTGTCGTTGTCGCCGTAAAATAAATGGCGGGTTCATTTTCAAAGCTATGCTTCCGCGCGTCCATAGCAGGACGATATTCATCAGGACAGTTGTAAAGGCTTTCTTCTTGTAGTAGCGTACCTACGATCCTAAAGAAATGGCGGTCCTTGAAAACGAATAGCTAAAAAAGATTTAAGATCATTTCGAATTCGGCTACTTTATGAGATGTTCACGACCACAGCGATGGGTATCTCCCCTAATTATCAACGAAGTAGAGTCGTCAAATGCGTCAGTTTCTTAGGGAAGTCTGACCTTCTTTATGCTTCAGCTGATGAATTGAGAAGCCTTTTTTTCAGTATTCGTTTTGACATAATCAATATGGTCTTTCTAGTGTATGTAGTAGGTGAATGCTTCGTTCTGTATTTGTTCTTTCGCCAACCTTAATTGTTTTTGTTTTTTGTTTATCTGCATGGACGATTTTGTATTTTATGCTATTTTTTAGGGGCGATTTGACGTTATTCCGAAAGTAAAGTCTTACAAGCTGAAGTTTTTTCTTCTGCTTTTGGAGCTTACTATTTTATCCATGGTCGTCGTTCGTTTTCCGTCGATTTATTCGGTTGTCGGCGCGGCTCTGTTTATCATAGTTTATCTGCTTATACCAGCTGCTCAATTTTTCCTTCAGTTTTACGGTAATGTCCGACGATTTTAGTCTGCCGTACAACGTTTGCTTGTTTTACATTTGTTTTTGTTGCAGATAAGTACTTACGAAAGGCGGCGCACGATCTGTACATAGGCGGCGATGCCGATCAAGTCGAGAAAATGTTCAAGCTCATCCACAACTACTCACAGTATGCTTAAACACGATCTGATGTTGTTGCAATGCGTTCGTTCGCTGAACGGCCGTCTCTTCTCTTTGCTTTTCTTTTATTAGACATCATCGTTTGTCTGTTGTTTGCTCAAGGGGTTCTTTCGAAAAGCGTTTCGAAGTTGTTGCTTCATCTCGCTGCATTTTTTTTGTTCTATCGTGTACAGAAAGCTTTTTGGCCGATTTTGTTGAGGTAACCGACTGGCATGCCGTTATATGGCTCTGACCGTCTGTCGTTTAGGTTGCATATTACATTGGCAGTGGCTTCAGGGTAATTGCTCACGTAGACAGCCCTCCGGCAGGGCGGTCCGGTCAGCCGGTTGAATTTTACAACGATAAGGTATGGTGGTGTTGTTTGATAGGATTGTTGGCTGCAATCTGATCGTCACCTTCAGCCTTTGTGTTAGCCGGACGTGTTCAACTTGTAACGTCGATTGAATTCGATACTTTTGCTGTAATTTGCTTAACACTGCTTCGTAAAACGAACAGTACCTCTTTGATTAGAGATCTGCATGTATCTCGTTCATGCGTGATGCACATTAACCTCTTGGTGGACATTTGCCCTCTTTCGGTTCCTGCACGTAAAGCTCAGGAATTTAAGCGAATGGCGTTTACGTAGCAGCGATAATCTCTTCTGTCTGATCGCTTCAGCTATTCGGGATACCCGCGATTGGAAGAGAATAAAGTCATTCTGTATATAGTCATGCTCTTTAACATTCATCGTGCGCCGACGCCAGCGATGTTGCGTGCCGTTCAATCATCGCTCCCGGTCTTTCGTTGAAAGAATGACGTCGATGCAGTATAACGACATTGATCTGATTGTTACAATTTACAGTATATTGCTTTTTCAACCCAGATACTTGTCATGCTGTTACTAGCACTAGAGGCAGGCGACGGCAGTTCACCTATTTGACTCTGATTACAGTGGTACAACCACTGGAGACGATGGAAGCGAGGTACTGTACTCAAATGTTTTGACCTCCTACTATTACGCCAGTTTTGGTGTGCCGATCCAATTATTCATGGATTTTTACTTCCGGGCGTTGAGCAGTACGTCGGCTTTTGCAACTGTTTCTTATTTTAGCCCGCTTCCCATACTACTCACCCCGGCAGTATTTTGAACTGTACCTTCCGTCGGGAAGGAGACAGTCGTCGTTACCTGGATCATCACTGATTCGGAGAAAAGAGTGTATAACAACGTTAAATTGCAAATGCGAAGGCACGTCTTCATGCCAAGCTCTGCGGTGTACAGGGAGCGTTTTTGATAGCTCCCTCCTTCGCCTATAACAGCAGACATGTTTTTTGTATACATATCTTCCGGTGAGGAAATGATGTATTCCGGTATCTTGTTGTATTGTGCGATTTCTATGACGCATTGATTAAAATGCAGCCTTAAAGTCAGAAAGACTCAGAAAGATGTTCCCCATCAAATGTTTTTGCATGAGAAACTGTTTCCAGGCATTTGTCGGTCTTGTAATACCGCGATAGTTATAGCACTCGGTCAACCGTCTCCCTTTAAGTATAGGCGAAATTACTTCACCTTTGCGTTAGTCATGTACGTGTTTATATGCATGTTTAATGAAAGAGGGTGTGGGAACATTTCTTCCTTATCTAATTAACCCGGACGATTCGATCTACATGACAGGCCTTCGTTACGGTGAATTGTAGGAAAGCGTTTTGGATTTATAGTTTTCATAGGTGGATCTGTAGTACTTTCTGTTATTGGCGAAACATATAGATCAGAAGTAGCTTATTTCGACTGCAGCTGCTGAAGAACCTTTGAAAATGCACAGCCTATGATTTTAACAGTTCTATTTATGCAGCAGTAGTTGATGGCTTGCGTCATGAATGAGTGGAAACGTAGGTCCATGTTCACTTTAGAATTGCCTTACTCCTCAGAACTCGCCAGTGTATCTTTGTTGTGAGTTTTCGTCCGTTTATCCGAAACCCCCTCGTACTAACAGCTATGCACCTTTCCTCATGTGCTCCTCCAGTTCGTTTCAGGAAAAGTCATGAAGAGAATTATTTTGCACTCGTAAAAAACGTGCAAGCGCTTTTTTCACCGTCTACGCAAAAATTCGCCTCTGTACGATGTGTTCCAAAATATTCAAACGGTTATTCAAACAGGCTAGTGCTAGACAACCTAGACAAGCCTAGTGCCTTCTCATTCTCCTGCCCGTTGCTCCCTTCAGATTAACGAAGAGGCAGTGGAGCAGGTGGAGAAGTTCAAGTACCTCGGAACTGCATTTACTAGTGATGGAAAGTTGGAGGAAAAGATCGACCGGCGAATTGGAGTAGCCAGTGGCGTCCTGCGAGAACTATCCCGATCCACTGTGAATAAAGCAGAGCTCAGTATGAAAACTAAACTCTCAGTGTTTAAGTCGATCTTTATCTCCTGAGTATCTACAGTCATGAATCGTGGACCATCACTGAAAAACTTCGAACCCGGGTACAGGCAGCTGAAATGGGTTTTCTTAGACGAGTCGCTGGCCTTAGATGTCTCGACATGGTCCGGAATAGTGACATCCGGAAGAGCCTTGGAATACAGCTTTTGCTTCTCCAGATTGA